TGCCCCTCTCAGCACCTCTCAGTTCCCCCCCACTCTGCCTTGCCTAATGCAGCCCCGCCCAGCCGCACTCAGCTCCGCCCTTAGCCCAGCTCCGCCCTGCGCTGCCTCGCCCTGACCCGTTGTGCCCTTCCAGTGCCATGCCCCTGACGGCCCTGCTCAGTCCGGCTCCTCCCTGCTCACAGATGACCTTAGCACAGCTAAGTCCCCGGGCTTGGACTCAGCTGTCCTCTGTCCTGACCCCTGGCCTCCTGGGCCTGGACTCTGCGTGCTTTCCCAGCCTGGGCTCCATCCTCCTGCCACCAAGTGTTGGCAGGCCTGTGGCGGGCCCAGGCCTTCCCTGGGCCTCACATCCCCTCCCGTGGGAAGTGCTGGTTGGCTGTCATCAGGCTGCCGGAGTTGTGGAGTGTGAGAGCAGGGCTGCCTTGTAGGGCTAGCCTGAGACACCCCTGCCCCAGACACTCTCCCTCACAGTCTGGAGGCCCGGACTGGTGGCCTCCCCCTTCTGTTCCCCACGGGGAGACTAGGGTTCAGAGGGAGAGCTCTGGGGACACCCACCCACAGAGAGCTGCGTCTGGCTGTGTCAGGAGCCTCACCGCCCCAGGGATGGCCGCGCTAGGCCTTCGGGCTCAGACGGCCCTTTCCAGTGAGAGGCGCAGGGCCGGAGCCCTGCACCCGCAAAGGGAGCCGTGCCAGCCCGGGCACCCTGGTCCCAGGAACGTGCTCACAAGTCAGGACCCTGTCCCCCACTTCCCGATGGGGGAGACCACGCTGCTGGGGCCCATGCGGCCCGGGGCCCTGGCCCCTCCCGGGGGAGGTGAGCAGCGCACTTGCAGGAGCCAGGTCGGCGGGCGGGTCCCTCCCACAGGGAGTGGAGGGGGCTGGGACACGGCCCACTTTCCACGGGGCTAGCTCTTGGCCTCCTTGGGGCTCCTTCTCCTGGCCCCTGATTTGGAGGTGGGTGGTCTCTAGCTTCCGAGCCTCAGGCCCCTTCCTGACGTTGGTCCCAGATGGGCCAGGCCCTAGGTGACCCCAGACCTCCCAGGGCTCCAGGGGGCAGGGTGTCAGGGATGCTGGGGCAGGTGTTGGTGCCTGGCAGCCTCCGGGCCAGCGGCCCTGTCAGTAGAGCAGAGGGAAGGAAGGGAGGGACTGCGCGTCCCAGTGGGAGCTCAGGCTTTAACTGGGCGTGGGCGGGAAGAAGCAGGATCCACGAGCCACACAGTTAAGTCGTGTCTAGGAGCTGCTGCCCCTTCCCACCGTGGGTCGGTGGGTGACGGGCGGTGGAGTGTTCTGTCCCCAGGCCCGCGTGCTGCCCCTTGCCAAAGCTGTGCCAAAGCCAGTGCCGGCACTGCCGGCCGACCCCTCCTCTCTGGCTGTCCTCTCCTGGGAGTCTGGCCCACAGGGGTGAGTCCTACTTCCTGTTCCCACTGACGACGTACCCTCGGCCACCGAGCACATACGGCAGGGCCATCGCCAGCCTGGGCAGAGCCAGCTCTCCGAGCCACAACCTCTCCCGTCCCTTCTGGTCTCAGGTCCCCTCTCTGAGCCCATTTCCTGGTCCTGTGGGGCTGTCAGAAATGGGGAACCTCAGACAATGGGCTCTGGGGATCCCTGGGGGCACCGTGGTGACTTCAGGTGGAGCTAAGGATCAGTAACAGGAAGGTGCCCCTTGAGACCTTGGCTGAGCTCCCTGCCCTGGGAGGTGCCTACCTCCCAGGGGAGCAGAAGGTCGTGTCCGGGACCCTGTGCTGCAGGCCCATGGGCGAGGCTGCCCCTCGCTTCTTCCTCACGGAAACGAGGCTGCCCCTGGAAGGTGGCTTGCCCGTTGTCCTCACAGCTGCAGCCGGGACCATCCCTGGGCCCTCGTGGCCTGTCACCACCAGAGCGGCGGGCTGTGGCGGAAAGAACGGTCCCTCGCTGCAGGCAGCAGGCAGGCCAGAGCCTGGAGGGAGGGTGGAGGCAGGGGAGGCCCCCCCCCCCCCAGTGGCCAAGGTAGAAGCTTCCTTGTTCCCTTGTGGGGAGGGGCTGGCCGGCCTCGGGCATCTCTTGGTCACAGAGGGGAAATAGAAGTCTGGCCCGGGCTCCCAGCCCCAGCCATGCCACCACCTGGCCATGGGAGCCCCGGGGTCTCTTGCGGAGGCTTTAGTTTGCCTGTGAGAGGGGACCAGTCTCTCCTTGAAAGGGTTAAGGGACCATGAAAGATCTTTGTCAGCCCACGGGTGACAGCGTGCTGCAGAGCTGAGCTGCCCGGCAGGGACGTCACCTGGGCAGGGTCAGCGCCGGCAGGTGTGGCTGGGGCAGTGCCTAGCTGACGGCGGCCCCTCCCCACCCTCCCTGGGGAGCTCCTCTGAGGCCCCTGCCCCAGGTCAGACCCTCCCCGGCCTGGCACAGCCTGCTGCCGACTGGGGGTTCACCCGGGTGCGAGGCTCCGCCGTCACTGAGGTGCTGAGGTCGGCTGAGAGCCTGGGCGCCGATGCGGTAATAGCAGGGTGGGCCTTCCGGGGTGCCGGCGTGTTCCCAGGGAAGGAAGATTCTGCTGTCTCCAGGTGCTGGGGTCTTCCCGGCTTCTTAGCGTGAAGAGTCCGTGGTGCTTTTGTGACTTAGCCTTAGAAGTCATACAGCCTCGCCTCTGCCCTGTTGGTTA